GTATGTGTAATTATATTTTATGTGTAATTATAGATAGCTGAACATATATACGCATCATCGAAATATTTCATGGCAAACAAGATTTCTTCTTGGTTAAATGTCTCTGGACCATCATACGTTGTAGATACAGCCTGCAGTTCAAGTCTTTTCGCTTTAGCTCTTGCTTACACAAGAATGAAAAATGAAGAATGTGATGCGGCCATTGTAGCTGGTGTTAATCTGTGTTTAAACCCGTATGAGACATACCAGTTCTTCCATCTTGGTAAAGTTAATTTTTAAATGATATTATTATTACACAGTACATATTTGGTTTTCAAGTTTATCACAAAATATGATAATGATTATTGACATTAAATTGTGCAGAGTGAAAGACATGAATTCTCTTCCAGTTCTGTTTTATTATTGCGTCAGACTGCTTTAGCTGGCCACCTTTAGCTGATGTTAAACAATCAAATAAGATAGCCAGATGGAATAAATTAGCACAGTAGCAGGAAAACGCTAAAGAGAATTTATTTCTTTTGCCGCGCATGAATGACGGCTAATATACATTAATAACGCAGAAAATTGACCAGAAAAATAACATGTTCATAAAACAAACTATTATTATTTAAATACTTTTAGGAGTATTGTCCGCTGATGGTTACTGCAGACCTTTTGATGAAAAAGGCCGTGGTTACATGCGCAGTGATACCGTTGCTGTGCTGTTTTTGCAGAAAGCAAAAGATGCAAGAAGAATTTATGCTACGTGTGTTCATGTTAAAACAAATTGCGATGGTTTCAAAGAAGAAGGTATTACATATCCATCTTTTGAAATGCAGAAAGCTTTACTAGAAGACTTTTATGAGGAATGCAAAATTGCAACTTCTGAGATATCTTATGTGGAAGCTCATGGAACTGGTACTGTAGTAGGCGATCCAGTAGAAGTTACAGCTATTGATCAAGTTTTCTGTAAAAACAGAAATAGTCCTTTATTGATGGGCTCAATAAAATCAAATCTTGGACATGCTGAGCCTGCTAGCGGTCTCTGTCAAATAGCAAAAGTATGTAGATACATACATGATAAGCTATAATAAATAATCCATTTTTACTTTGTTGCATGCTGTTTCCACAAAAAGTTCAAACTTTAGGATTTTGAAAACATAAGATAGTTGTATTAGTTTGAATAGCTGTGCATACGAACAACGTATGTTCATGTGTGTGTTCGCTTTAAGCGCTTAGCGCTTTACCCAGCAATCTATTTTTATTGCCAAAGCAAAACCACTGAAACGCATCTCTTATTGTAAAAATCAGTCAGTTAATATTTCTAAACGGTATACTATTTTTTTAAACATTACACTCTGCATCTTTCACGCTTAAAAACTCGTCTCGCGAGTCTCTTTTCCGTTTTCAAATTCTTTTGTTGTTTTTTTTATATAAAAATGCGTCTAATGATCAGAAATTTACCATTTGAAACTTTCCTGCAAAAAATTATCAGCAACTTTTTAAGCCTGAAAGTAATGTAAGACTTTTTATAAAAGCCTTCTAAATCGTATTTTTAGTTATCTTACAATTAGTCAGCTGCAGGAAATAAATTTGACCGTGGTTTAAAATAACCGCAAAGTATTAAAATTATGTTATTGTCACTCGATAATATATACGCAGTATAAGCAATGATACGCAATTTGTAGAAATTCAAGAGTGAGGGTAACACCTGACAAACGTCATAGAAACAACTCGATTCTGAAAAGTTGAGGCAACGGAAAATGCTGTAACGTAATAATAGTACACATAATTGTAAATTTTACAGATACTGATAGCAATGGAAACTGGTAAAATTCCAGCAACTCTGCACTTCAAATCACCGCGAAAAGATCTTACTGCTGTTCTTGAAGGTAGAATTAAAATTATTACTGAACTTACACCATTTAATGGTGGGTATGTGGCGGTTAATTCTTTTGGATTTGGTGGCGCAAACTGCCATGTAATATTAAAATCAAATCCGAAAAATAAGATCAAAAAACTAGACGATTTACCTAGACTTGTAATTGTGTCTGGTCGTACTGAAGAAGCTGTTAAAACGATTCTGGATGATGTAAGAGCTTAGAAATTATATTAATCGAGAATCAAAGTATTTTTTTGTATTTCATTTTTATTTAACCAAAATTAGGTTAATTCTAGAGCTTTAAATCTTGAGATTGGCTTGTACAAAAGAAATAAGTAGATAGTGTTTCGAAAACTTGTCAACGTCAACTGCAAAAATACGGGTTCCCATTTAAAAATGTTGAAAGTAAATTTAGCACAAATGGGAAGATAATTTTCAGATCAATTCTCAGCATCTAAAAACTTCTGAAACAATTTTTTTGAATTTCTCATATTTTTCGAGATATTTGTCTGACGCAAGTAATATGAGACACTAGAGTGTTTTGTATAGTCCGTACTGGCTAAATTTCTCGGAAAGTATACTCAGTTTTAAAAACAATGTTTGAAACAAAAGTTGCAAAATATACAACTATATATTTACTGATGTTAATAAGTTGACCTTGGATAATGTCACGGTCACATCGATTTTTGTACATAGAACCTTTTTATTGCATATTCTTGTAGCTGATTGACATTGAGGCGGTTGTGAAACACTAGTTATAAGCCATTTTTTGATGAGTACTTGCAGAGTGACTTTATGAGTCCTTATATCTTGAAACAATTTACTTTTTTTTTAAATGTTTTTAGTTTTTTTAATTAACGTATTTTATTACGTTATAGGTGCATAATCGGCCGATTGATACAGAATATATTGCTTTTTTACACAGCATTTATAATAAAAATATAGAACGTCACCCATATAGAGGATATACTATAGTTGGATTAACAGAAGATCATACGTCAATTAATAAGCTAGAATGTTATTCAAATATAAGTAAACAAATTTGTTTTCTATTTCCCGGAACAGACGTCATATGGAGTAATATAGGTATTTATTTAATTAAGTTATTGTACATGATTTATGAAATATATAAAGTATTATATGAAATATATAAAGTATTATATGTGTACACACTCATACGCACACATGTATGTATTGTACACAAGCACGCTCACTCTAAAGATGCTCAAAACTATCAATTTCAATTCATGTCAATATATTCTTTGCTCTATTTATTTATATTCGTTGTTAATTTATTTTTTCTATGCTCTATGATCTTCATCATAATTCAGTATGTAGATCAATGACTGCGAAATGTTCAACACATAATGATGTGGATTTTTTTTATATGAATTGTTTTGATAATTTCATTTTTTTACCAATTAGAGAACTTTAGGTTCTGAAGATTAAACTAGAAATATATAAACGGTAATAAGAGCCGTTCGCTATTGTTGTGTGTAAATATGCGTGTGTATATATATATATATATGTATTCACGAGTAAATCTTACACGTGAGTTTTCAAATAAATTTTTTCTTTTTTTTTCACCATTTATTATATCCTTTATTATATCAACTCAGAAAGTTGAAAATATAACTAAACTATTTCGGATTGCATACTTGTCACATTATTACTTATTTTCACGTTACATTTTGGTTTGTACTTGCCGTTAATTACGATTTCTTGCTTTTCTTTACACCACAACAAACTCAAAAGAGTTCTTTATATATTTGATCTTGAAGTTAATTTATTTGAACTACATATATATTTCTTGTTTATTTAAACATGTTTCTGTTTGAATGTACACTTTGAATTCATGCATATGAATAATATTTTTATGTGTTATTTTTCAGGCAAAGAATTACTGAAACTACCAATAATTGTCAAAACAATTCAGAAATGTGATGAAGCACTAAAACCATATGGTATATGTGTCACGGACATTTTATTAAATAAAAACGAAATTACTTGCAATGACAGTATAAAATCATTCGTGGCAATCATTAGTATTCAGGTAAATAAAGAAAAACTTTAGTTTGTAGAATTAGTTTTGTATATTTACGATTTGCATTTTATATTTGTTGAATTGTGGTGACTGCGTGACACAATTACATTTAATTTAAAATTAAAATGTTTGTAATGTATATTTTAATAATTCTGCACACATATACAACATATATCAAGTTTTTGGCATTTAAACCAGCCAGTTTCAATCGTATTTCGATAGAGTAGTTCTGATGTTATGATATATTATCTATAATAAAATGTGTTATGTTATTTTTATATAGATTGCAATAGTAGATCTTTTACTACATATTGGAATTGTGCCCGATTATGTACTTGGTCAGTCGATTGGTGAACTTTTGTGCGGATATGTGGATGAACTTTTTACTGTTGAAGAAACAATTTTAATGGCGTATTATATGAGTGTTGCGTTTGATAAAATAAAAGTAGAACAGGTAAGTAAGTGAAGTACTTTATTCTGTGTACATACGCATGTTACTGTATTGTTATGTGTTTTTTTCAGTGTGATTATATTTCTGATGCTTCTAATCAGTATTCAGAATCTACTAAATTAAAGCTACTAGAATATCTGAATCAAATAGCACCATATAAATCTATGAAAAATTTTAAGTATAGTAAGAAATGGTTAAACAAGTTTTTGCCTCACAACAAAATATACAACTCATTTACGCAGTTATCTGCTGCAGAATATTATGCACACAGTGCAGTATATTCGTCACTTGAAGAAATTTTACCTATGATACCGAAAAATGTGGTACTTCTTGAAATAGTATCATATAATAATTGGATATTTTTTATAAAAAAATGTTTGAATTCAAACTATATTTCATTATTTCAACACGATCAACAAAATAATATAGATAGCATTTTGAAAGGAATTGGGAATCTTTATAATATCGGATGCCAACCGCAAGTTGCAAACTTATATCCGCCAATACAATTTCCAGTCAGTCGTGGAACATCAATGATATCTCCTCTCATAAAGTTTGTTTGTTTTTTTTTTGTTTTAATGAAAAATAGGTTCTATTTTACCTAATATTATATTTAGTTAAATATTTTATATAGATATATAGTTTATATTTTTATATATTGCTGTTATAGATGGGATCACTCTGAAAATTATTATGTTGCAAAGTTTGTAAGTGAGGAAAAACCTACCATTAGAGAAACAGTTCAAGAGATTACATTCAAAGACTCCAATTTGAAATATATGTATGATCATGTAATTGACGGTAGGATTCTATTGCCAGCTTCAGGTTATCTGATTTTAATTTGGAAAATGATTGGAACAATGTTATGCTGCGACTATAAAGATATACCAATTATATTTGAAGATGTTAACTTTCTTCGTGCTACTTACTTATCAAAAACGACTACAGTTAAACTGACTCTTTCAATACAAAAAGGTGAGAGTTTATTTAGTATGTTTGTTCTTCCTTCTTTCTTCTCTCTCTCTTTCTCTTTCGCTCTTTCTTTCTTTCTCTTACAGACACGCACACATACAACAAATTTATTATACATATGTTTCTTTCTCTATTGTTTTCCTATTAATTATTATATAGGCAGCAATCAGTTTGAGATTAGTGAAGAAACTACTGTTGTTGTTACTGGAAAAGTGTGGATTCCACATGATATTGCAAATCATAAATTACTTATTCATAATTTAAAAGAACCTGAATATAACGTTACAAAATGTATGAGTACCAAGGATATTTACAAAGAACTACGACTTCGTGGTTATCACTATTTTGGTATATTTCAAGGCTTGAAAAGTGCATCAATTTCAGCAAAAATGGGATATATTACATGGTCAGACAATTGGACAGCATTTATTGACAACATGCTGCAGATGAAAATTTTATTACTAGATTCAAGAAGTCTTTTCGTACCAACAAGAATTCGTAAATTAGTAATTGATCCTCAATTTCACATAAACCAAATACAAACTACGCCTGATGAAAAAGCGAGTAAGTATATTCTAATGAAATATACTCCACATATCATATTTTATGGATAAAATTTGTACGATAAAATATAAGTAAAAAATAATGTAAAGAAAACAAGAAACTTTCTGTACACACATACATACACACATTAATACTCTTAATATTAACACATATGTTGTCATGGCAAAAGATCTAAATTATGGTACATATGTGCAATATCTGTTACCATGCCCACTAACAGACATTTCAAAGTATTATCACAAACATTCTTCTACATCGAGTGTTTTTTGTGAAACAGTTATCGACAATCTCTCTTCTGTCTCTACCATTATACATCTCTATTATGCTATCTCACTCTCTTTTCTTTTTCAATTTCTTTACTGAAGATATACAATATTTATTTCAGACTTTTCTGTACGCGTTTATGATTCTCTGGACGTTATAATATCTGGAGGAATAGAAATTTATGGCGTTATGGCTACAAATATATCTCGACAAGTTCCTGAACCTATTCATGATGAATATTGTTTTATTGCTCATTGTGATCGTGCTGTGATGTCTCTACCAGAAATTATACAAATATCAGCGCATATCTCGCTTGAATGTAATCCAGTACTACAGGCAAATTTTATTGAATTAATTGAAGATGTTGACACAGTTACAGAGCAAGATCTAATCTCTACAATCCTTTATGACATTTTAAATAATTTGCCAATGATCGAACCAAATGTTACATTGGTTGCTCCAACTAATCGTTTCAAAAATAATGAATTATCTCCAAATATCAAGCAGTCCGACAATTTGACAAAAGATAACAATTTCCTAATGATTATTGTTTTCAAACTTTTAACAAAAAACANAAGTGAATTAATCAATACATTATTGTCTACATTAAANNAAGGTTGCTTTGTGCTGTCAAGAGAAAATCTCACTGAGTCCTACAATTATACATTATTACAACAATATAAGTTGAATATAGTTTTAGAGAAACGTACAGAGAAAGAGGCATTTGTGCTTTTAAGAAAAACACAAAGCATTGTACCGCAAGAAGTTATATATATAAATAACTCTGACTTTTCGTGGATTAACAAGTTGAAGTCTGCATTAAACATGGATGATAACTTAAACGCATCCACAAGAACAATATTAGTTGCGGACGATTTTGAATGTGGCATATTGGGTTTTATCAATTGTTTACGAAAAGAGCTGAACAAAACAGATGACAAGATTAGATGTGTATTTATCCAAGATGAAAATGCGCCGAAATTTTCTTTACAAGACTCTCTCTACATAAACCAATTACACTTGGACTTGCCTGTTAACATTTTACGCCCCAACAAAGTTTGGGGATCGTATAGACATCTTCCGTTACCACAACTAAAACCAAAATTTGTACAGCATGGTTATGTCGCTCAGAGTGTATGTTCATATAAATTTATAAATTAATTTATATTTTCCTATTGTGTATTTTTTATTACAACAGAATTGATATTTGTTGTAGGTGCGAGGTGATTTAAGCAAGTTGCGTTGGGTTGAAGGGCCGATATCTCCTGATTACAAACAAGAAAATCTCGTACGTGTAGTATACGCATCACTTAATTTCAAGGATATTGTGATAGCTATCGGTAGAATTCCTTTAGAGATTTTTGGAAACGCAAGAAATATCGATTCTCTCTTAGGATGTGAATTTGTCGGGTACAATACGGCTGGTAAAAGAATAATGGGAATATCTACTGTAAGGTATGGAGAACACAAATTTATTAGTTGTTACAGTTTATATACAAAACAGTTATTTCCAATAATTCAATTTTACAAGATTAAGCTGATCGATGCACTTCGCAATCCTTTCCTGTATTTTTCTAAGGTTTAACTGGAGTTGCGCGACCTTATTTAAGCCGGGACATACAAACAAAATTAAAGTTACTTGAATTTTGATAGTAAAAACAAACAATCTATTTAAATATTATTCAGTTACGTGATTATGCACTTTCTGTGCATGCGTATGTGGATGCACCGCACATGTATTTTTTATCTATGTATGGATAAAAATTAATTTTAGAGATATTTACAGATAAAAAAGTCAATGCTTTACGTATGACTAAAAGCTACGCCAACTAATATTTTGTTATTGCTTTTCTATGAGAGTAAAATGCTACTGTGTTATTTCTTGTCACGCGTAACGCATTGAATGTTCTGTCTACAGACTCCAAAGTTTACTGTTAAAACATAGAAAAACAATATGTGTATTTTATAAAGTACTACTTTAAGTAAATCATTTTAGAGGAATCACAAATCTTATTGTGGCTGATCCACAACTTTCTTGGATCATTTCTGACAAATGGACGTTTGAGGATGCTGCAACTGTCCCAATTGCTTATTGTACGAGTTATTATGCTTTGTACACACGTGGAAACTTAAAGAAAGGAGATAAAATTCTTATACATTCCGGCACTGGTGCCGTTGGGCAATCTGCAATTTATCTCGCGCTTTTTGAAGGATGTGAAGTTTTTACAACTGTAGGAACACCTGAAAAACGAAACTTTATAAGAGAAAAATTTCCTTCTATNCCTGAAGATCATATAGGAAATTCTCGAGACACCAGCTTCGAACAAATGATNAGTCAACAAACAANAGGTCGAGGTGTNGACATCGTGCTAAATTCTTTAGCAGAAGACAAACTGCAAGCATCTATTCGGTGTTTGGCAAAAGGTGGTCGATTTTTAGAAATTGGAAAGTATGATTTACTATCTAACAATACTATAAATTTAAAAGAATTTTCAAAAGGCATTAGTTTTTATGGAGTTATGTTAGATAAAATATTTATTAGTACTGATGTAACAAGAAAAATAACTATTTGTAACTCAATAAGCAATATGATTCAGCGTGGAGCGATCGTACCACTTGTAAGAGAAGTTTTTGAACAACATGAGGTAGAAACCGCTTTTAAACATATGGCAGCTGCAAAACATATAGGAAAAGTAAGTTAAAGTAAATCTAAAATTACAATTTTCAAACAAAATGTAATACTGTGCATAGCAACTAAAGACGGTCGCGTCATGCGTGATCGAGGTTGTATATTTCATATATACATTACTTAAAAAAATAATCATTTAGACTTAACATATAAACGTTTTAGTGTACTTATATCCATTTACACTGTGGTTTTTTCCACCATAAATTTCAAATAAAAAAGTTTAAGTAAAAACAATTTTAGCAAAATGTTACTTAACTCTTAAGATTGCACTAGAATGGAATATGTGGCTTTGCCAGATTATGTAGTTCCTGTTATTAATCTGCTATCGATAGTTCGATAATGACATAAATGCTATTTGTTGACAAAAACTTTAGACCTGATTATTTTGCAAACGGCTTTCAATGTTTTCGATATTCTTGTAACCAACAATATCGTAGCCTACTCTTTACAAATTGTTATCAATTTATTTAGTTATTTAATTAAAAATTTAAACCAATTACTGAATAGAAATGTAAAAATAAAAGCACCAAATAGTTTTGGGTCATGTGTCGTGGAAATATATTTTATTAAAACAAAAATTTTATTTTGTGTGCAGAAATATGTAAGGCCGATACGAGCCATTCGCAGGATGTTTGTGCGGAAACTAAGCGTGTTTTATTTTGCGTTTTTTATTTTGTGTGTTTCTGTCTCAATATAAAGAACAGTTAAAATATAACTTCACTAAAACCTTTTAAATTTAGTAAAACTTTTAACTTTAAATATAATTTTTAAATATACCTTTATTAAGATTTTAGTTTCCCTTTTAGGTACTTATAAAAGTACGTACAGAAGAGGAAGATGAGGACGCTCCTATTCTCGCGTATCCTCAATATTTCTGTCATGAACATAAATCTTATATTATTTTGGGTGGTTTAGGCGGTTTTGGCCTGGAATTAACTGACTGGTTGATTCTTCGTGGCGCTCGAAAAATTATACTCATTTCACGAAATGGTATAAAGAACGGTTATCAACTGTCAAGAGTAGAGTTATGGAAATCGTATGGAGTAAATGTGCACATAATGACAGGCTTTGACGCATCTACTCATGAAAATTGTGCTTCCATTTTACGTTTTGCCAACACATTAGGACCAGTAGATGCTATATTTAATCTCGCAGTTGTGCTAAAAGATAATATTTTCACGAATCAAACTCCGGAAACATTTGAAGAAACATTTCAGTCGAAAGCTCTAGCTACAAAGCAACTGGACGATTTGTCTAGAAAAATGTGTCCTCATCTGC